AACTGGCAATATTGCAATATGTTGACAACTTATAGTTCACTAAAACTCACTAGATTGTATCAGAATATATGCATAGAAAGTTTTCTGTTTGTAATGGGTAGACTAAAAGTTACTAGAATGACATCATTTTATTCTTATCGTAAAAGAACTTTATCTGTGTATATTCTATTTTAACCAATTTGAACCTACCGTCCTTTATAAAGGCCAGAAGGTTTCTTCTAGTACATTACAAATTTAAACTTTTAAAATGTAGATGCCGTATTAGTTTTACAATCCTAAATTATCATTACCATCGAATCTTATTATGAATCATTTAGTAATTAATTTACAGTGTGTCAGGAAGTTTTTGTGTAGTAGTGATTTCAGCTACTTGAAATGGATAAAGCTAAGTAAGCTATTACTATTTTGTTTGTAATTAGTGATGTCGAGTCGTGATAAAATATAAAGTTTAGAGATGAAAATAATTAGTTAACGCATATACAAAAGAATTTTTGTCGGTAATAATATCATAACACGTGATCAAAGTATCATGTTCCTTTAAAAGGCCAGTAGAACAATCAGTGTCTATAGTGTTCTGTTTTACTAATAAATATTTTCTTATTTTGCTCAGTCGTTTGTACTGGAAAAAGCCCCTTACTCTAGCGGAAAGAAGAAAGCTCTGAAGAAATAGAAAAAGAACATATACACATTCCAGATAGCATTGCAATTTTGCCTCCTGAAAATGCTAATGATGACGTTACCGATGAGGATTCGGGTGAAGAAGATAATGTTGATATTGAAAATTTACCTGGAGATGTCAACTAAAAGCACAGTGTCATGTTAATCTACCAAATCGGTCTGATTCAGATAATGATAAGTCATTAGTAGACTTTTTTGAACACAAACCTAAGAAATTTAAAAAAATCGAGTACTGAAAACGAGATTTACAAGCGAATGTCTCTACGTGGATTCCAATTCAATCCGTAAACAATCAGCGTTCACCAGCAACGATATATAAATTGTTTATGGCTGATATAGTTAAGCAAATTACGAAATATAGTAATACATATGCCCAATAAATAAATATTGTAGCTGATATATCTACGGATGAAATGTTCTGCTTCATTGGTATATTGCTGCTTAGTGGTTATTGCTCTGTCGCTAGACGAAAAATGTATTGGCAAAATTCTGATAATACAAATAATAAAGTAGTTTATTCAGCTATACATTCACTGCAATGATAACATCATCATAATCAATTAGCCTATATTTGTCCACTGCTGAACGTAGGCCAGTTTGTGGTGATGCGCTTGATATCATCCGTCCATCTAGTCGGTGGTCGTCCTCTGCTTCGATAAGCATCTTGCCTTGGTCGCTATTCCAGAATCTTTTTGGTCCATCTATCATCCCTCAATCGGGCAACATGTCCGGCCCAAGCCCATTTAGCAATGGCTATTTTTTCAACTGCATCTGTAAATCCTGTTCTTTTTCTTATTTTTAGGTTTGATAATTTATCTCTGATGGCAATACCTATTATTGATCTTTCGATAGCGCGTTATGTAACTCTTACTTTATCTATTGTTCTTTTTTTCAGAGTCAGTGTTTCTGCACCATATGTAAGAACCGGTAAAACGCACTAGTTAAAAACCTTTCTTTTTAAACAAACTGGGATACTAGACTTGAAAAGGTTATTCAATCTACCAAAAGCAGCCCATGTGAAACCTATTTTTCTTTGTATTTCAGTTGTCTGATTTATATTGTTCTGAAGCTATTTTCTTGTGGCATTGTAAATTAATTACTATTTATAACTGGGAATAAGCCACAATTAAAGATAAAAATACGTTTATTGACGTTTCAATTTCCAATTCGGAAATCGTTCTCAAAATACAAATAGTAAATTAAACAAATTTTGTTTTTTTGGTACATAGTGAAAAAATTCTTCTAATAATTTAATTTTATCTGACTCATTTATATTGACAATTCAGACATACATTATGCATTTTAAAGTAGACGACTTTAAAATGATATTGCCAATATTGTTGAGTTGCGCTCCTGGGACGACTTTACTTATAAGATAGTTCATTCGATTACATGAAATCAACTTTAACTTGAGAATATCCGTCAGAAAAAATCATAGCATGTAATTCGTCTTTAAAAAGACAAACACATGACATGATGACAGTAAAATTCTCCTGTTAGTTTTTCCATAGTAAATTATGAGGGAAAAACCAGGAAAAAAACCTCATAATACTATCCCGACATTGTAAGTATTTGTTCGTGAATTTAGTTTACCTTCAACAAACATCAAAATTCTGATTTTATATGTTACGTTATTTAAAAAAAAAAAAAAAAAATGTACTTACTAATACATCAATCTTATATTAAAAATAGAGAATTTGATAGATCTCAAATATGTAAACACGCATGGGATAATGAACATAGAGTTCAATGGAATAATTCAAATATAGTCCTAAAAGAAACGGATGTTAAAAAAAGAAAAATCAAAGAAGCGGCTCTAATTATGCTAAATGAGGCCAATTGTGTCGCAAATTCCTCGGCAGAATGTAGTAGGATCTGGTTACCAATATTGAAAGAGGAAGTTATTAATAATAAGAAAATACCAGTATTAGTAAGTCAGTAACATATAGAGGATACATCATTTATGTTTTTTTTTTTTTTTTTTTTTTTAAATAACGTAACATATAAAATCAGAATTTTGATGTTTGTTGAAGGTAAACTAAATTCACGAACAAATACTTACAATGTCGGGATAGTATTATGAGGTTTTTTTCCTGGTTTTTCCCTCATAATTTACTATGGAATCACTAACAGGAGAATTTTACTGTCATCATGTCATGTGTTTGTCTTTTTAAAGACGAATTACATGCTATGATTTTTTCTAACGGATATTCTCAATTTAAAGTTGATTTCATGTAATCGAATGAACTATCTTATAAGTAAAGTCGTCCCAGGAGCGCAACTCAACAATATTGGCAATATCATTTTTAAGTCGTCTACTTTAAAATGCATAATGTATGTCTGAATTGTCAATATAAATGAGTCAGATAAAATTAAATTATTAGAAGAATTTTTTCACTATGTAACAAAAAAACAAAATTTGTTTAATTTACTATTTGTATTTTGAGAACGATTTCCGAATTGGAAATTGAAACGTCAATAAACCTATTTTTATCTTTAATTGTGGCTTATTCCCAGTTATAAATAGTAATTAGTTGTCTGATTATCTCGGCCTAAGCGAATCTCATGCCTTAGATATTTGTAAGCTATTACTTGCTCGATGCTATGGCTCTCAATCAGAATTTTACCAATGACTACAAGGTTGGTCATTTCTCTTTGAGGTGTTAATTTTAAGACCAATTGTTTTTGACACTTTATAGACCGTGTGCAGCATTTTTGTAGCTTTATCAACTCTTTATCGGCAAATCTTAGGTGGTTCAGATCTTCCTCATTTATATTAATTCCCATGTTGTCCTCTCGCTCCATTTGCTTGAACATATATTCAAGAATAGCTGTAAATAATTTAGGGGAGGCAGTATCACCCTGTCTATTTCCACGTTCTATTCGAAACTTCTTGGTATCTTCATGAAGGCGGACAGAAGCTGTACCAGTTTCGTAAATACTTTTGATTAAGGTGATATATCGGTAGTCAATGCGGCAGTCGGCCAATGATCGAAGCATTTTTTGATGATCTATAGTATCGAATGCCGTTGCATAATCTAAGAGTATAAGAAAGAAAGGCTTGTTATACTCTGTACACATTTCTATTAGCGTTTTTATAACTTATATATATATATATATATATATATATATATTATATCTAATACTATCTTATATAAGCAAGATAAGTTCTCTAAAATGAGACCAATCTTCGAATCTCTGAACAAAAAATTCTTAGAATATGCTCCAATAGAAGAAAACTACAGTATAGATGAAGCTATGGTGCCCTATTTTGGACGCCATAGTTGCAAACAATGCATCCGTGGAAAGCCCATTCGCTGGGGCTACAAGTTTTTGGTTGGAGCAACAAGACTTGGATATATCATTTATTTTGATCCATATCAGGGAGCATCTTCAACTCTACCACCAAAATATAGTCATGTAGGTTTAGGGTCAAGTGTTCTCAAATACGCCGATGTTTTACAGAAGATGCCATTTGCGCTATTTCATTTGTTTTTTGATAACTACTTCACATCTTTGTCTCTCCTGAAAGAATTGTAGTTCAGAAACATAAAAGGAAAAGGTACCATAAGAGTAAATAAGGTACCATAAGAGTAAATAGAATTCCAGAATGGCCTCTAAAACCAATAAACGAGATAAAAAAACTGGTGTGAGGTGCTTTTGATTATTCCATGGTAAATGATGATAGTATAATATGTAATTGGAATGATAATAGTGGCGTTACTTTTGCATCGAGCGTGTCTTCGATGATCCAATTAGATCTGATCATATAACCAGTTAGCATTCTGAAGGGCTATTCCAGTTAAGCTGTTAAAAATGCATAAGCGAACCACCAAAAGGGACCTTCAAAAACGCTAAGCAGTCAACGGGAATACTCACGTTATAATAGGTTGGATCATTTAGTAACCTATCAAGAACAGCAACGAAGATGCGTACACTGCCATAAAAAGGCAAATTTTATTTGTCATAAGTGTAATTGTTGTCCTTCATACTAAAGAATGCTTCTATAATTATCACACTCAATGAATATAAATTGTACTTGCTAATAAATAAATATTTTTGGAAAAAAATTTTTTTCTTTAAAGGAACTTATAGTCCTACTGTCCTTTTAAAAGATCACCAAATTTTGGCCAATCTGGAGGTCGGATATTTTTTTGTTTATTTTTCCCCAGCTTTTGAAGCCTTTTTAATTACTACTCAATGTATACATTCAGGTTTAATCAAAAAAAAGTTTCAGGGTTAAATGGGTTAATAAAAAAATTTAAGTAAAAGAATTAAAGAGAAATCTTAATAAAGTTGAAGACAGACAGATAAATCACAAAGGCAAAAAGGTTTTATTTGTATCTATTTTATAATTAGGTTAACATTATTTCGTATCAATAGCAGATAGATTAAGATGAGATAAATTTGTCACAATTTTTTGTAAAATACAAATATTCCTTACTAAAACCTGTTAATATTATACATTTTAAAATCAGTTATTAACTTACTGAGGTTCAAATTACCTCTTTACCAAAATTTAGTAAAGAGTTCCTGAATACTGTCATATATCATAAAGGTGATGGCCACATCAAGACAAACCCTGCCTAATCTTGGTACGACACCCTTATAGAACGCTTTTGGACCTTCATTTGTAAAAACTCTTACTGCGCAATCCCATGTGCTTTTGTACTTCTTTGCTTCCAAACCTTGCATTCTTGTTTTAACTACATCGATTGGATTGTTAACATACACAGAACAAAGGCCGGCAAAGGCCCCAAAGATACCAATAATAGGTTTTGGAATTATAACGGTGATATCTCCACCTAAAATATGATAGAATATTATCTATTTATTTAAATTATCATGGTTTGTCGTGGGGAATTCATAGTAAATAATAAAATATAACACTTTTGTAAAAATGCAGCCACGATCTTATACCAGGCGCACATGGTTAGGAACAGTTTATCTAAGCCATTTATATCGACATCAGGTGTACCTCAATGTAGCAACTTGGGTCCTCTTCTGTTCGCTATATTTATCAACGATTTGCCTCACTGTGTGAAGTTTTCGACAAGCCTCCTATTTGCAGATGATTTTAAGATTTTTCGAGAAATTTCAACTTTAAGATGCTGCAACGTAATCTGAATTCGGTGATAACAAATAACACTTCTAAATGTCATGTTTTTACTATCACTCGAAAAACACAATACATGGAGAACCAATACAAAATTTCTAGCACTATACTTGGAAGAAAAAACACTTACAAAGATCCTGGAATAATGTTTCAGCAAAATTAGAGATTTATTGGATCATCATTGGAAATACATACGAACTTTTGGCTTAATAATTCGTAATTTAAAATTTTTTTAAGAGATTATGACTAAGGAGGAGGAGGAGGAACTCTAATATAATTATACAATGCACTGGTAAGACCCCACTTAAAGTATGCCTCTATTATATGGACACCTCAAGCCGAATTAAATGTTGATATGATTAAAAAGGTTCAAAAACGATTCTTGAGGTTTCTTGGTGTCAGAAAGTTTGGTATCTATTCATACATGATTTTTTATAATGCTATGTTAACTTGTTTTAAAGTTCAGCGACTGGAATGCTTGGAATATCACTAAGAGACAAGATTAGAAACACCGAGAAAAGACGTAGAACAAAGATTAGGGATATTGTGAAATAAATTACAAAAATGAAATGGTGCTGGGCAGGTCACGTTGACAACAGGTGGACATATATAATTTTAGAATGGGGTCCAAGGACGACAACAAGAAGCATGGGAAGACCTTAAAAAAGATGGGTAGATGACATAAGGGTAGATGACATTTATCCTCCACGCGCTTTTTGGAAAAATTGTTGTAAATCTTGAAAATATACATTATTTTAAGCTATTTCAAACAAAAAAATTTGCGGAATTTCCATTTGTTTAAATAAAAAACGACTTTGAAAATTGAAAATTTCACACTTTTTGGGCGGCCATATTGAGAGCTGAGTGCGACGTTTCCAAATCTATAAAAATGTATAGTATCACAAGTATTCTCTATAATTTAAATTTTATGATATATTTTTTGAAGGTAACACTTCTTTTTTACGTAATATACATTCATAAACACTTATTTCTTTGCTCATCGACTTATATGCTTACTATTTTAGAATATAATAATAGTCTAAATGCAGGAATTAAACATAAATACTAGATAATAATGTAAAATAAAACTGATCAATAAATTCTGTATTATATTTAACAAATTTTGTAAATTACTAAAATCATTAAACATATTTTTAAAGAAAAAAATAAGTTTTGGTATAAGGTTGAATGTTCGAATAATTAAACTTTAACGGTATACAAGGCAACTATCGAACACGGTGATTAATTTAATCTTGTCCAAGTACTTTTGATCAATAGATGCCCCTGAAGATGATCTATTGATCAAAAGTACTTGGACAAGATTAAATTAATCACCGTGTTCGATAGTTGCCTTGTATACCGTCAAAGTTTAAAATAAGTTTTCTTAAATTTTAAAGAACTGAAATTATTCTTATTACTCTTTATAAGCAATTCTGTTATTCATTGGCGGATTAATACCTCTATATAATATTTCTCCTACGGAGAAAGATAAACTGACGCCCTACGGGCGTAAACAGGTCATCTCATAGTCCAGGAAGGGAATCTTACCAAACCTAATTTAACGCAACCTGAGCTAACCCATACTAATCTAAACTTACCCAACCCAACCTAACCAAAGCTAAGTAAAAAACTAATTAACATAAAATATATTAGTGGGTATACTGCTACGGTAGCGGTAGAAATGGAGAGCTCATCACTCCAAGTCGTCTTAGGTATTGTTTAAGACGAGACCAATACCCTTCTACTTGATTTGTACAGACCCCTGTTAGTGGATCTTTAAAAAATTTAGTGTGATTCACAGTTTTGTGAATGTACCCTAAACTTTTTAAGTTGGAATATCCATTCCACTAGTCTGTCCATATTTCACTCCTTCCTGGATGTGTTTTTTAATAATCTCCACTAATACCTCTCCTTTCCTACTTTCTATATATGTTATGTACCCCCTTTTTAAAATTATATCGTACATTCCCAAAACCCATTGTTCTTTAATTATTCTACCACGGTTATATTTTCTTTTTGTTACAACACTTTCATCAATTTGAACTGTGTGTCCTTCTCCACCTGCAATAATAAGAATGTGAAAAGTAACTAAATGTTAATATTTTTTATTGTTATTTTACCAAATAAAAATGGTTCTTCCTCTTGTAAAAGTTTCCAAGAAACCACATCTCGCAAATACCGATATATCTGTATAACAGATCGTTTTTCTAAATTCATTATTTCTGCGGCACTTTTAAGTAGTGTCTGACTTGTCCAAAACCACATTACATAAAATAGAGTCCTGAGTGGTATTCTCAATCCTTCAAAAAATGTACCTGTACACAGAATACATTTTTTTTGCATTTACTGCACCAAAAACCATGGTTTAATTTAAACCCATTTTTCTGTCTCACTACACATAGACGTCGACATTGTCTAACTTTGCATTTAAATTGTTCTTTCAGTAATTCAATATTTTGCAAATATTGAATTAATTCAGTATCGCTTTTTTGTGTTATATTATTTATACCAATAATAGAATTCACTTCCACTTTTCAGAAATATAAGCAAAACATAAATTAAACTTGTTTTGACAATTTATAAATTTCATCCAGAGATTTTTTGCTTTGTTTAAAATATTTATTATATAATATTTATTATATAATTATTATTTATTATATAATATTATATAATATTAATAATATTATTTATTATATAATATTAATAATATATTAATAATTAAATATTTATTATATAATTACATATTTAAAATATTTAAAACCGGAACAAACCTATCACAAAAATTGGCAACCTCGCACAGTCGCTGTCAAACTTCAATGCAAAAAATCATAATAAATCAAACAGGTTATATGAGCAAAATTTATTATTTTGGTGAATATCAACCACTATTTCATTATCATCCAATGTTCTAATAAAAATTACTAAATATTACACACTAATATGATATAATTAAAAGGTTAGTAGTAATATATAAGTTTCTTTTATAAAAATATTTCTCAAAGTAGCATGGATAATAAGTGCACTGGCACCGGTAGTGGCAGACGAACAGGGAGTAAATGGAAAATGGTTGACAAAAGAAGCACTCTTTTAATATAATGATAATTATTTTGTGTTTTAAAGGAGCTTAAATAAAAAAAATTTTATTACCTCTGTAATGATCCTTAAAAGTTTCCATTATGAAAAATCGTGTAGCTTGGTTAGTTCCTTGTCTTAATACAGTCGCCGTTAATCCTTTGTATGTACCACCCAAACCTTCTTCTTTAATAATCGTACCTACACCACGAATTAATCCTTTGAATCGTGGTTCTGCCGATCTTTGATCATTAATAAATTTTACTTTGATTGTCTCCATAGGAGTAACAACTAATATTGCTTCACTTACACCAGCACCTAACCCACAGAGTAATCTACCAGCAGGAGTTAGAGTACCATCTGATTTCTTAATACGATTTTTAAAACTTTCGAAAGCACCAAACCGGACTGCACTTTTCGGTACAGAGCCCAATAGCAATACACTTAATCCTCTGTACAAACCAAAAAAACCGTATCTTTTGACAGTTTTCTTAACACAATCAACTATTCCATCGTACTGTTTTCTGTCACCTTTTTCGTCTAACTGAAGTTGAGTCTTAACATATTCAGTGGGAAAAGTTATACATATTTCAATACCCCCTGTTATTCCTCCAGCTATAATTCCTTTAACACCAATATTTCCTGAACCTGGTGCAGCTGCAGCACCATACTGTCGTAACCATGGTCTAAGAAAAGGATTCTTTATTGATAAAACATCACGTTGATCCATTGAAATCACACAATACACAAGAACAGATAGAAAAAATTTCGAAAAATAATTCTACTGCTTATGACATTTATATAAATAAATCTGACATCAGTACAGTTTAATAATACAACACATTTATTTGACGTTATATCTTCACTTTCTTGATTCTAAATAGAATTTTATCGCGACCGAAATTAGTCAGAAATTTAATTTTATTGTAAATGAATTTTAAGATATATCAGAAGTAAAACGAAAGAAAAATAGAAAAATAGAATGAATTTATTAAACAGCATTCATGAAAATTCTGTGGTGTCCTTATAACTGAACAATTCGTTTAGTTACTTCATTGTCTGTTCGCAAATATCTGCCTCAAAATTCGTACTAAAAAACCCTTTGAAAAAGGTATGTCCATGTCCATGTAATTGTCAAAATAATCATAAATTATAATTCAAAGTTGTTTTGAGCTACCGAACAGTCGTTGGTAGATCTGAATTTTGAGAAGACTCATTTATAATCTTTATTATATATTTATAATTTTAATTGTATTATAATTTAACTTACGTCCAGTGGTACGAACGTATTATAACAATTCTTCTTATTCTTGATGTGCCTATCCGTTACGAATGTTGGAGATCATCATGGCAATCTTTATCTTAGCTGCAGCAGTGCGAAAAAGCTGTACAGATGTTGTATTGAACCAGATTCTGAGGTTTTTTAACCAAGATGTTCTTCGTCTTCCTAAATCTTGTTTTTGAAATATTTTTGCAGGGTGGCTTGAAGAAGAGTGTATCTGGATTCACTGCGCATAATATTTCCGAAGAATTGTATTGTGATGTTGTCATTTGTGACTTGGTCAGTCAACAGGAACTTAAGTATTCTGCGATATAGCCACATCTCAAATGCTTCCAGTTTTCTGCGCATATCCTCGTTCAATGTTCACGATTCAACACCACAAAAAAGGACAGGGAAGACATGCCATCTTAGTTATTTATTTATCGTATGACAATTACCACACATTTAGAACAAAATTACAAACACTAGGTAGTACAAACATAGGTATATGACAAACTTTAAATAGTTACAAACAAACATCGAGTGTAATAACATAATCAATTGACTCTGAAGTTGCAAACAGGAAGTCTTCAGAGCTACCGTTGTAGGATCTTGAGGAACACTCTTCAATAATGTGGTCAATCGTTTGGTTCTTGCCACAGTCACATTGAGGAGATGCATTTTTTTCCCTTGTTATGTAGCATGTATGCACATCTGCCAGGTCTGGTTCGGATCCTGATTAGAGTGGACCATGTTTTACGTGGAAGATCAAAACCTGGTGGTTTGTGGGTAATGCAGGGCATGTTATTTTGACATGCATTCCATTCTTGGGACCATTCATTCGTGATGTTGAACTCCTCATGTATCATTCTTGCGTTTTCATTGGTGGTTTTCTAGAACTTAGACGGGTATTTTGTGCATTCTCGGTATCTTGGTGAATCGGCAGGTTTATATTGTTTATGATCTAAGTGCGTCAACTCGTCGTAAATGTAGAGGTGAAATGTGACTTAATACTGGAAGCCATTGGGTGGGAGTTGATTTAATTGTACCAGCTATCATCCCCATAGTGCCGTGCAGCTGAGTGTCGACCTATTTTACGTGTTAACTGTGTAGCCAAACTGGGGCACAATATTCAGCGGTTGAGAAAACAAGGGCTAAGGCAGTAGAGCGGAGAATGGAAGCCGATGCTCCCCAGGTGGTACCGCAGAGCTTCTGTATAATGTTATTTCTTGTAATCAACTTTTGGGCAGTTTTTGTTAAAGCGTTCTGTCTAGTGTTACGCCCAAGTACTTCTGTGTTTTGTTGTGGGAAAATGTGGTATTTTCAAACTGTAAGTCTGCCGTCACGACCATAGAAAGCGGAAAAATAAGCACAAAATAAAGGCAACAATACAAGGATATAATAAAAATTGGGACTTAACGTGAGAGAGGTAGTTGGCAGGAAACTTTAAAAAACTTAGACCGAATTTTGGAAAAATATACAATAGATATCTTTGCCCTGCAAGAAATAAAACAACTGGGAAATAAAATAATAAAAATAGGAAGAAGCACACTTTTTAAGAGTGGGGGAACCAAGAGATATTTTGCAGTGGGATTCATGGTTTTGGAGAAAGTAAACAAAGCAGTTGTAAATTTTCAACCAATATCAGACAGAATATGTTATTTGAGAGTAAGAAAAAACTATAGAAAGATAAGTATCATTATAAAATATTAAAATAAATACTTAGAAACCAAAACAAAGTACTACGATAAGCTAAGCACCCTAATAGGAAATATACAGAAATACGATGTGAAGATAATTATTGGTGACATGAATGTAAAAGTCGGAAAAAAAGAAATATATACAAGAATAACAGAGAGACGAAGTTTACATTAGGAATCAAACAAAAACGAAAAAAAAATTAATAGAATTGGCTACAGAAAACAAAATGAAGATAGCTAGCACAAAGTCTGACCACAAAGAAATTTATAAGGTAACATGGACTTCTTATATATCTTCCGATAAAAAAATAGAAAATTAGATAGATCATCTCGTAATTGACAGCAAACATGATATCGATTGCAGGAGTTATAGAGAGTCAGATACCAACAGTGACCATACAGTAATAATTGAAAAACTAAAGCCAGACCTACCAATAATACCAAAAACCTATTAGAGATAGAATAAATTACCAATTAGAACGCCTTCAAGAGAAGCAGGTTTTAAACAGACTAGAGGAAGAAATAAATAAAAAACTAGAAAATTCAGTCAAACAGGATATAGATAAAGAATGGCAAACCATGCAGATAGCCATTTCGGAAGCTGCGGAAAAGTGTGTAAGAAGAGAGCATATAAAAAGACGGCAAAACTGGGTCGATGAAGAATGTAGGAATATTTTGGCAAAAAGAAACAGGGTAAAACTACAACTAAATAAAGAAAATACGCGAAATGCGTTCGAAAACTATGTTGTAAGAAGAAGCACAGTGAAAAAGAATTTGCGAAAAAGAAAAAGAGATAAATAATTTTACCGAAAAGATAAGAAATCCAGAGAAACTACAAAGAATGCACAGTATTGCAGAAACAAAGAAGGCTTACTTCTAGGTGACACAACAGAAAAACTAAACAGATGGGCGGAATATTTCGAAGACCCAATAAATACAGACCAACAAGAGGAACTTGAGGGAGATAAGAATTGGCAAGAAGATGAAGAAGGGACGTATTACAGCAAATCCACTAAGAAATCGAAAAAGACGTGAAGACATCAGAAGAAAATGCAACGTACAGTGTATAAACGAATGGACACAAAATAGAAAAAAAGAATTGAATAATCACATAAGCAGAATGCAGGAGACCCATATCGTTAACATCTTCTTCTTCTGAAGGTGCCTTTTCCATTACTGAAGGTTGGCTATAACTACAGCAAATTGCTCTCTATTTGAGCTGTTCTTAGTATCGAATGTCTGTCCATACATGTCCAGTCTCTTACGTTCTTCAACCAGGAGCATTTTATTCGTCCTGGACCTCTTCTTCCTTTCACTTTCCCTTCCAATATAAGTTGTAAGAAGTTATATTTTTCTCCTCTGTAAATATGTTCCAGATAACTTGTTTTTCTGATTTTTACAATATTTAGGACTTCTCTCTCAGTACCTATTCTTCTTAGCACCTCGTTGTTGGTCACGTGGTCTGTCCAAGAGATCTACAGCATCCTTCGAAAAACCCACATCTTAAAGGCTTCTATACGCATCATACTTGTAATTCCAAGAGTCCATGTTTCCACTCCGTATAGCAATATGGAATAAATAAACGTTTTTACAAATTGGTATCGGATATTCAACGATAACGTGTAGTTTATTAGGATTTTTTTTATTGATTGAAATGCGGACTTAGCATATACTATACGAGCACGTATTTCGACCTCGTGGTCAAGATCGTTTGTTTTCCAACAACCAAGATACTGGAATTTTGTACTGGTTCTATATGTTTTTCATAGATACGAATAATAATGTCGATATTTGGTGCACATGTAACAGCCATTAATTTTGATTTATTTGTGTTTATATTTAGTCTTAAGCTAGCTTCCTTCCTCTCTGGTTACGACATTCACAAGTCGTTGTAAACCCTCAGCACTGTCCGCAATAATGACGGTGTCGTCTACGTATCTTAAGTCGTTGACGTATTCTCTGTTGATTTTTATTCCTTTTTAAATATTTTCGAGGGCATTTTGAAATATCTTATCGGAATATATATTAAATAACAGTGAAGAAAGTACACAGCCCTGACAAACTCCTTTTTTTATTGGCAATTCTGCTGTCAGACGATTGTCTATTTTGATTGACGTCATTTGATCCCAATATAGTTTTTTAATAAGTGCTACAGTGTTACGGTCTATACCATGTTGTGTTATGGTTTCTATGCGTTATGTGTGTTTTACTCAATCAAACACTTTTTCGTAGTCGATAAAATAAAGAAACACGTCTTTTCGCTGATCTTGGCATTTTTGTAGTAATATCTGGAGGCCTAATAATGCTTTCCTTGTACCAAGCACCATCCCAAGCCAGTCTTCTAGGAAGATTCCAGTGGTATATATTTTGTTAAATAATAGTGTTAACGTCTGAAGATTGGATTCATTGATAAGCTTTATCATCTCTACGTATATTTCATGCGTACCTGAGGTTTTTCGGGGCTTTGCCGTATTGATTGTTTTTGTAACTTCCGATGTTAATATATCAAGTAATATTTCTTGTACTATATTCACTTGTGGTTCTGTTCTCTCGTCAACAAACAAATCTTTGATGTATTTTTCCCACATATCTCCTAAATTTTCTGGACTAGATACTATTTGGTTGTTACTATCTACTAAAGTTGTTACAGTGATTTTTTTCTTTATATTTGTGACTTCCTTAATTTTTTTGTATGCATTAAAGTAGTCATGCTTTTTTAGTAAATCTTCCAGTTCCTCACAGTTGCTGCTCATCAATTCTTCTTTGGCTTTCCTGATTTTGTTTCGGACAATTCTCTGGGTTTCTTTATATTTTTCTTTATTGCGATTGTTGTAAGATCTATTTATGTCCATC